TCCTGTTATGGGGATGCCCCACACACGATAGGCAAATAAAAATCATAAAAGCATGCAGCAGCAATATACTCTTCATGATTTGATGATGATACTAAATCATCAAAGTGTATAGCAGCAATATACTCTTCATGATTTGATGATGATACTGGCCAATGTTTTTACTTAGGAGGTGTCTGTCAAAGTACATGGTGTAGTAGTAGTGTTGGAGAGTACTGAGATAAAAAGTTCCAGTACTTAGAGAAAGTGCAAGTGACTAGCATTGCCTTAAGGACCTTGATTCCCATGCCTACTCAAATGATGACAAGCTAAATTGTCATTATCATGTTTCGTGGAAGCAAAATTGCCAATAATTTTCCTACCAATCAGGTCTGGTTAAGAAATTCGCCAAATAGGGATTATTTAAGATTAAAATTATCAAGTTAGATTCAAGTAGTTGTGTTTTAAACGATTGGATGCTATTGCATACAATACAAGCAGTGAGGTTTCTAGGTGCAAAGGTGTGGCAGTCTGGCAGACCATTAAGATAAAAGAACCATGTCGTGTTATATATGTCCTGTAGACTGTTACATTAGCTGTGCATGCAGCTTGTAGGAGTAAACTTCAGCTACATACATCACATGTACACATGCATACCGGTTGGTTTCCCTTTTGTGCACTTTTCATGAGTGGATTGTCTTTTCTTTTGCTTTTAAGTGCTTTGCTTCTGTTAATCAGAAATGATGCATAATAGGTGGGGATGTCTAAAATTTCTCGTTGCAGAATATGTGGCACGTGCTCTTTAAAAGTGTTCATGTACTTGAAATTTCAGTTTGCATTTTCCTTATTTGCGACCCTTTTTATGTCTGGGAGGATTGTTTAAGTGCTAGTTCTTGGTTTGTGTTCTAGCTCAACGGGCATTGACTATTGCTGTATGTCCTCACCAGACAGCTGAATTTATCCTTTTTGTGCATAGCTTACCCAGCTAACTAAAAAAGTTAGGTGACAGCAGCCTACACTAGTCAGTCAAGTCAAGTTTTCTGCACTTTATAGAGTTAAAGAGCTTAGACATGATAGCGTTGAGGCAATATTTCTGGAAGTCAATGTGGTAGTATTCAGAGTGCAAATTAATATGACATATTGATGTATATATCATTCTAATTATCGACTTGTTTAGTATCTCATGCCAAATTGGCAATCATCTGAAAGCATATATTATGATGGGTTTTAATCTTCTGTTGTCCAAGGTCTTTTCCTGACTGACATTTCATAAACTAATCTTGTAGGGCGCTCTGCCTCTCGTTCTGCTCCTCGTTCTGCTCCAGTTAGAAACCCTCCTCAGCCAGGTAAACTTGCTGGCGATCTTCTCTTATTATTCCTGGATTTCATGGTGTAATTGTTTCTCAGGTGTGTTATTTTTCCCGATCTTTTTTGCAAAGTTGTCTTAACTGTCATTGCAAATATGATAGCAAAGACGCATTATATAGCTGTTTTACCTGCATAGTCAAAATGTGACTTTCAACATGTCCAAGATTTTATAATATTTCACTGATTTTCAAGACTTCTGCTTACAAAATCTTTTTTTAATGCATCAATATAAATTACCGTCGCCCTGGCTTACCTTAGCTACTCGCTTTTCAAATTGAGTACTAAGAAGCTGGTGGCTGGACACACGTGCATATGTTGCTAATAATTAGGAAGTAGGTTACTATAGGTGTGTGTTTGTTCAAATTTGTCTTTCTTGTAGCTTCTTTTTAATGTGCTATTCCTTTATGTAGCAATGATGTGCCATCATGTTGTATTTGATGATTCTCTCTCTCTCTTAACTATATTTCTGCTTCTTTTTAATGTATTCCACAGTCAAGTTATGAAGACCAACAATCTTATTGTACCATTTTTCTTTGTTGGTGCAGTTAGCTCCGCACCTCCTCCAGCTCCTGTTCAGGGACGTGGTTCTGTTGTTGGATCAATAGGGAGCACAATTGCTGATGGTAAGAAGATAATAACATTCTTCATGTGTGCATGGAAAATATTTTCTTGCTTGCTGTCATATTGCGGCTTGCTCCCTGCTTGTTTCCTCTGATGTGTTTATTTTCTTGTGCACAGGCATAATGTGGGGTACTGGAAGTGCTATAGGGCACAGGGCCGTTGATGCTGTAATGGGGCCTCGTACCATTCACCATGAAACTGTTGCTTCTTCTGCTCCAGCAGCAGCAGATGCTTCTGTTGCCTCTGCAACTGGTTCTGACTCCTGCATGATTCATTCAAAGGCATTTCAAGACGTAAGCTTTTTGAGCCGGACACCAAATCGATTTTGAATATTTTTCGTGTTCAGCAGAATATACTGCTTAACGACATCAAATATTAACTTTTGTTTCTGATGGTGGTACAGTGTATCAACAACTATGGCAGCGACATTAGCAAGTGTCAGTTCTATTTGGACATGCTGAACGAATGCCGCCGTGGCTCTGGTGCCACTCTTGCTGCTTAATTGACTCTTTCGGAGTTGTGGCGTCTGGGACTGCAAATAGTCTAAAAATAGACATGGATGCATTATTACCTGTTGAAATGTTAAGATCTGCTTTTGAGTAAATAAGTTGCGAAGTGGGGTAAAATGGAGACACCCCCCAAGCATAGTTGATGATTCATGTGCCTCGTTATTTGTCCTGCTGCATGCTTTGACTTTGTTGTTTGACATTATCTTGTGATATCTGCCATTGTTCATAGTAGTATGTCTCCTTACGCAGTTGATGTTGTTAGGTCTCTAAAAGAACAATTGAGTGTGATTCGCTTGCATTTGTTGTGTTCTGTTCTTATGGAATTATGTGCCTGAATATGCTGTAGAGCTTGTACAGCTTGTCATCTGAAGGTGTTGGTTTCATTTGGTGGTGGGAATAATTACGGGAAGTTTACTTGTTTTGGAAGGGAAAGATGGGTGCGTTGGAGGACATGTTTCTTGCCATTTTCTGAAGATTAAACCGCTTGAGAAAAAAAATGTCGCGTGTATTGAAAGAAGGATGGGAGGATCTCGTGAATTTTGGAGGTTGTAGCTTACAGAGTTATGGTGATGATGAAAAAAAGATATTTTTCAAATCTTCATTGTGGTTGTTGTATTTTAGTTTTTTTGGCTTTTAAACATTCAAACTGCTAAAATTTTTTACCTTGATAGCGCAGATACGTTAGAGATAGAGAATGTTTATACCTTTTTTGATGACTAATTCCCAGTAAAGGGATATCATTAAACTACTATATTGATGAATCCGCTAAAAAAACTACCTTCTTTTTTCTTCTTGCTGTTCTCCTCAAATAACTATAGTTTTCATTGTTTGCATTTTTTCAACATTTAACGAGGTAAATATTAGACGCAAAAATTATAAAATGGACAAATGCCTTGTAATCTGGGGAAGATTTCGATTAGACATGACAGCGAGGCTTGGCCTACCGGTGGCATGAAATTTTGGATATCGAAAGATGTCTCAATGCGCAATGAATATAAAGAACACATTTTTTCAATGTCTATATCTATTCTATTGTTAGACCTTTAGACTATGTTTGGTTTGAGAGAAAGGGAGAGAAAAGAAAGTAAAATAGAAAAGAAAATGGGTTTCTATTGTTTGGTTGGAAAGAAAACAAAAAAGAAAATGAAAATAAGTTTCGGTGAAGAAAAACCCATACTCATTTTTTCTCTCACCCTTTCTCTCCGTTGCCCAGGTGAAAACGAGGGAGAGAGGCGGAATCTGACACCTCCGACTTCCCCGATCTCTCACCTCCCTCTCTCTCCAAAACTCCGATCAATCTCTCTCTCTCTCTCTCTCTCTCTCCCCCCTCATTCTCTTTCTCTCTCTCCCCAGTTCCCAAATCTAGGGCTACAAAGCTAGGGTTTCTCCAATCGAGCTCTCATAAGCTTGAGATCGCGCTGTTGAGCCGACACCGACGCATCCTCGGCTCCCACCTCCCGCCTCCCGCTGTCGAGCCGACGCCGACGTCGAGATAAGGTAAGGTCTGAACAAGACCTTAGAAACCCTAGTTATTGTTTCCAATATACTGTTCGTATAGATTTTGAATCGATTGTTCGTAATGGGAATATTGTGTCTAACTGGGCTAGAAATCGAAACCAGGACAGCTCCGAACTGTGGGTGATGATGGTATCCATTCATCACTTGATTTGAGAGTGGTGGTCAGGAATCAGAGATGCATGTGAATTCTACCTTGGTAGTAAACACTATCAGCTATATTTTTCTCTTGAGCCTGACAGAATATAATTAGTCCGTTAATTGAGTTTTAAATAAGGTAAGAGTGTTATTAAACTGCAAGTTGGGTGAAGAGACTTGGAATCTCTCATTTCTCATTGACATTCTGAGGATTAACAGGTTGATGTTTCACAAGAATCCTGGCTTGTGTTCTTCTGAGAGTGGTTGGTTGGTGTCTAATAAAACAAACAAGAGGTCCTTTATTACTAGCTTATTAGATTTAATGAGAGTGTTGACACTAGTCCTTGTTGATATCTGCTCATTTATATTTACAAATAATGTCAAATATTGGGCTGTCTCATTTTGGTCTTTGGCTGGAGCTCTTGAATAAAAAGGTATAATAACACACATAATTTGGTTGTTTCACTTTCGATGATTCTGGAGTGGTCCCGTGTGAGTTTTTAATATTTGACGTTTTTTAAGTTTGTTTGCTGCTATTGGATTTTAACTCAAACAGTGAATAATTGAATGTTAAAACAGCCATGATGTTGTGTTAATAAGGGTTTCGTGTGATAGGGGAAGCAAATAGGCTTTTTTTTTCTATAACTGAAACTTGTATTCTGATTTTTAGAGATAATGTTCACTCCAATTCCTACATTTCTTGTTAAGTTGCTCGTTCGAGTAAATTATCTTTTCAGTTATTGGCTTGTAAATGCTTAGTTTTTTGAAGTATTTTCGAATTTATTCGAAGTTATCTGACAATAATCAGTGTTTATCCAGGATGGTGCTCTTTATTTGTTTTTTGAAATTTTCAAATGTTTTTTTTCCTTTTTTTGCTTTGTAGTTAATCAGGATGGTGCTCTTTATTTGTTTTTTGAAATTTTCAAATGTTTTTTTTCCTTTTTTTGCTTTGTAGTTAATGGCAAAATCGATGATCACTAAATCTGAATTGATGTTTTCGTTTTGTTCACTCGCAATTAGGTTGTCTTTGGTGATATCTTTGATCTTTTCGGAACCGCTCCAGATTCAACTGCAGGTTTCTCTTGGATCTCTCTGTCAACATGAATACAAATTCATCCGAGGTAAATTCTGTTCATATTTGTTTTTTGAAGTTTAATTTGTTGCACGTGTGCGCGCGCACCAACAAAATGAAAATGTTAAGAAGAGGAATTTAAACTCTTTGGTCACATTATTAGATTACAATGTGTAGTTTGTGTGTGTAATTGGATAATGTCGAATTTAAAAATAGAGAGCGGTGTGTGTGTGTGTAATTGGTTATGATTGTGACGTGCTTACTATAGAAAGTGTTTGAATTTGTAGACAAAAGAAGATGATGAATGTGCTATACAAAGGAAAAAGATAAAATATTCAGCAGGGATTGTGGCTGCATATGCAGCATATGCAAGTGCTATTATGGCAACTAATATCTACCAAGTGGAGTATATAGATAGATCAATTTTAGCTCAAAAAGATGAACATAGGAACTTACTTATGGAGCGACTTACTCAACAAAGTGATGGAGATCCCAAAACTTTCACCTAATATGTGTACGTAGGAGGTAGCAAACCAAAACAAGCTCTCGGTTTTTGTATATAGAGTCATTCATCTCATCTCCTTAATTTTGCTTGTAACTGCACTGAACAAATATTCTCTTTTCTATACCTGCATTGATGTATCCTTCTATGGCTATTTGTGCTACAGCTCCAATACAGCCGTGACTTGTGTGCAACTAATAATTTTGTGTTTTCTTTATCTATTAATAGGCACATCCTGGAGCAAAACAATTTCGTTACAAACCTGTACCGTGTTTTGAAAACTTGCAAATCATTTATGGGAAAGACAGGGCTGGTGGTTTATCTTCTGAAACTATCAAAGAAAGACGTGCTCGCATAGAAAATGAAAGAGATGAATCAAGTTTTATCAATACAAATCAAGATGATAGAGAAGCTGTTCAAGAGAATGATGTAGAATGCATTGGCCCTTCAAAAGGTAAAGAACAAGATCCCAAAACTCATTCTACAGCGGGAACATCTTCTAAGGTGATATATAAAAGAAAGCATAGTGCCACTAGCAACTTGGGTGAAGAGCTTGATGGGCTAAAAAGCGGAATGGAGTCAATTGCTTCTGCAATTTGGAAGACCGGTCCTCGTTTTTACACAGAAGGAGAGATATTTGAGGAGCTTTCAAAAGTTGAAGGGCTCAATGAGGACGAACAGCTTGTAGCCTACGACTATCTTAGATAGATTGACTGTTAGTAGGCGGTATCTGTAATTGTTGAGTCTTATGAAATTACTAATAGATAGGAACTTTTTGTTATAACTTATATGCTCTGATTAACTTCATCTATAAGTTCTTTCATTTTATTGTGATGTCTGTGTGTCTTACTATGTATGTTTGCTTCCCTTTGCTTCTGGAGTTTATGCACATATGATCGATTCTCTATATATGAAATTGATTGTAATAGATTTTGTTGGTTAAGATTTTTTATATGAAATTGATTGTAATAGACTTTGTGACTAGAAATGGATTATACTTTATATTAGGAATATCATGACATTTACTTTAGATTTGTTTTGGTTCTTTCATTGACCTTTCTTTCTGCAAATATTATGTGTGAGAAATGTTGTTCTTTAATTAGCGGAATTGTGGTTGTGTTTCTACTTGTTAATATTTACAAACTCAATGTTGATGGCCACTCAAGTTTTTGTGTTAGGAAATTGCCAATTTTTTTAAATACATGTTTATTAACCTGTTACTTCCTAAGATATGAATGATACTAATTTTGAATAATTATGCTTGAATTGCATCATTGTCTAGAGCTTATTCGGAATCATTTTTCTTCACCTGAGGTTATGAATAACTTGCAAGTCCAAGACCATGTAAGATTATATGCAAATTTAGAGTCATCGTAAATTTGACTAAATTTTCTTAAATTAAGATTGTGTAAACATGAACAATAACTTGTAAATTTTTTTGAAAATATGACAGAATTACAATTTAATTTAATTATTTTTTGTAAATTATTTAAAATCTAAATCTAAATCCAAAAAGTATGAATTAAAATTATGTTGTGCTAATTTTCTTCCTCTTTTCCTCAGAAAGGCAACCAAACAAGAGAAAATGACTTTCTTATGAATTTTCTTCTAACTTTCCTTACAATATTCTTTCTAACCAAACAATAAAAAGAATATCATTTTCTTTTCTTTTTCTTTTCCTTTCTTTTTACTTTCTCTTTCTTTTCCTTTTCTCTCCCTTTCTCTCAAACCAAACATAGCCTTAATGATCACAACTGTCTATATTGCTTATTTAAATCTCATCGTGCCTCATTCCATCCTCGCAATACTGAAATTTTGGACACGTTTTCAACCGACGGACAAGAAGGTCCCAAGTAATAAAACTAGTGGTTGCCGGTTCAAATCTTACCATAAAAATGATACATCATGTGACATGAAGATCTTTTCCCTAAAATTTGGAAAGGTATTCAAATATATCCGTGACAGTGATTAGAATCCAAATGAATATGAGTGTGAAAGTTGCTGGTCACAACAAAATCGAAAAAATAAATGAAATTTCTTAAACTTCCATCACAGACAAGCCTAAGTCTGAAATGTCCCTCTAAACCATTAGACTAAAACTCTAAAGTTCGTGGTGAGAGTCGAGGGTGATAATTTTACATTATTTCTAGTAATGTCTTTGAAGGCTGAGAGACCTTTTATAATGGTCTGTTTGGATGGAGGGTAGAGAGGGGGAGGGGAAAAGAAATCTAATTTTAATCTTGTTTGGGAGTTCCGTTTAGTTTTAACCTTGTTTGGGAGTTCCATTTTGGAGGTGGGGGGGATTTGAGCCAAAATCTTACACCCCAAATTTGGATGTAATGAAGGGGAACTTTTCCCTTTCCTTCTCTTCCATAAGTCATCTCCCAAACACACTGTTAGACTCACGTAGCGATGTTAATTTTTAAAAAATCTGCTTTAATTTCGTGGTCGGTGAGATTTTGGATCTTGGTTACTTTGACACCATCCGAATTTTCCCTCTAATTATTACACTAAAACTTTAAAATTATGGTGATGATTAAAAGTTATAATTTTATAGTAATTCTAACACCAAGTCATTAACTCGTTTATTTAGATCAAATCTTAAGACCAATTTAATAATTGTTCCCGTACCACGAATAATAAAAGAGAAATGCTAGTAACTTCCAGACGATATACAATTTTATGTGCTGATATTTCCAAGCTCACATAACAAATTTAGATTTAGGCAAAGTGAGCTTTGTTAGCCTGCTACCTACACACACGTATCAACCTACGATTTTAGGTAATCCATTATTATTTCAGTAATTTATTTGTGTAAGTTCACTAATAAGAAAATTAGAAGTCTTAACTTGACCAACCTGGACTCCATAAGTTCAATTCATTAGATTATAATATTATAAAGGAATATCTTTTGCATTTGCACATCGTTGAAAAGAAATGCCAACATCTTTTTCGCATTTGTTTAGGGCCTGAACTATAAGCTGGCCGACCACAGTAATAGTATGTAAAAGTTTTAGGACCCAATTTTTGACGAGATAAATATTGGACTAATGTAAACATGTTGGATTTAATCTAATAAATCTATTTGTGAGCACATATGATTAATCAATGTGTATTGCTATCTTTCAGGATAACCCACTAAAGTGATCAATTAAGTTGGGTTAATTTGGTATTTAAATAAGTCATGGGGTTATATGTGCAGATACCAGGTTGTAATTGTAATTTATTGAGGGGCTAAATTACAAAAGTACAACATCTATAAATAAGGGGTTATGGTCCCTAACCTAGGGTTACATTCTCTAATTCTCTTCACCCCCATCTAAGAGAGAAATTCGGCTAAGGAGAAAACCCTAAGGTTAGAAGATCCAAAACCCAAAATCAAGATCAAGCAATGGATTCAGGTATAAGCTTCCGCTCTTTTAGATCATTGTTAATCTCTTTGAATTAATCATGGCTATATGGTTTTAGATCTCAAGTTTTGATTTAGATCTAACATTTTGATTTAGATCTAACAAGTGGTATCAGAGCCACCTTGATTAATTCTTAGGGATTTAAGTTTTATTGGTTTTTGATCTTAAATCTCTGGTTAAAGATTCAAATTTTTTTTGGGTTCGGATGAACAGTTCAATTTTTTGTGTTCGGATGAACAGTAATTTTTTTGGGTTCGGATGAACAGTAAATTTTTTGTGCTCGGATGAACAGTAACGAAAAGTTTTCGGATGAACAGTAACTGAAAAAATCGCCGGTGAACAGTAACTTTTTGGAATTTTTTGGATTTTTCTTCAATTTTTTCCAATTCTGGATCTGTTTTGAAAATAAAAATCAAAGATTTTTTGGGTTTGACGGCGGCGGTTTCAATTTGAAACCCTAAGGGTTCATGGCGAAAATTAAGGAGGTGGTTACCTCAAACGAACCTCGCGTTCGTTCAATTTTAACCGAGCTTCGCGCTCAACGAACCTCGCGTTCGTTCTAAGGTGAACCTCGCGTTCAACTCAGGTGAGCGTCAAGCTCAATTTTAACGAACCTCGCGTTCGTTCTAAGGTGAACCTCGCGTTCAACTCAGGTGAGCGTCAAGCTCAATTTTTTTAACGAACCTCGCGTTCGTTCTTCAGACGAACCTCGCGTTCGTACTTCAGACGAACCTCGCGTTCGTACTTCAGACGAACCTCGCGTTCGTACTTCAGACGAACCTCGCGTTCGTACTTCAGACGAACCTCGCGTTCGTACTTCAGACGAACCTCGCGTTCGTACTTCAGACGAACCTCGCGTTCGTACTTCAGACGAACCTCGCGTTCGTGCTTCAGTCGAGCCTCGCGTTCGAGCTTCAGTCGAGCCTCGCGTTCGAACTTCAGACGAACCTCGCGTTCGTACTTCAGACGAACCTCGCGTTCGTACTTCAGTTGAACCTCGCGTTCATTTTTTTTTAACGAACCTCGCGTTCGTTCCCAAGTTGAACCTCGCGTTCTTTTATCAAACGAACCTCGCGTTCGTTCATTTTCAGACGAACCTCGCGTTCGTGCTTAAGTGAGTCTCGTACTCAATACAGTCGAACCTCGCGTTCGAAGTTAAGGGAACTTCGTGTTCATTATGGTTAAGCCTCGGCTTTTCATGGGTCCACTTTGGTATACTTAATTTATTCAATTAAGTTATGGGCCCTAATTAAGCTGTGAGACCCCAATTAAGTTTTTGGAAATTCAGTTGATTTAAATTAAAACTTTTTAATTTAAATCTAATTTGGTTTTTAATCAATTATTTAATTCAAATATTATGACACTAAGGTATTAAGGTTGTCTCTCACTCCAATTGATTAATTGAAACAAGAAGTTGCCAAAGTAACCTCTCTTGTGTAGATTGTTCATGAGGAATGTGAGATGTTTGTGTGTATGCTTTCGTGTAAATATTTAATCGGCCCAAAGGAAGGTTAATATTTATTTAGACTGTATACACATCTGCGATGATAAGCGTGTGACAATTATAAGGTTTACATGTGAATAATGAATCGATCCAAAGATAGTTTCATTATTTGACATGAGTTATTGTCAATGTTTGATCATTGCAACAAGGTATCACTTACAAGTTAATATTACTGTCCAAAGACTTGATATTAATGTTGTGCCGGTATCTTGGATGGGGATTGTCATTATTTGAATTTTATTGATTATGGTTATTGATGTGAGCATTTTTGTTTTATTTCAGCTAATGCATCTGCTGCAACAATTTCTGCTAACATCAACTCAATTCCCATGCTAAATGGGACAAACTTCAAGGTTTGGAAAGAGAACATATTAATTGTTCTTGGCTGCATGGATCTTGACTATGCATTAAGAACTGAACAACCCCAACCTCTCAATGCGGATAGCACTCCTGATGCAAAGAAGGAGCATGAGAAGTGGGAGCGTTCAAATCGCATGAGTCTTATGATCATTAAGCGCGGCGTTCCGGAAGCCTTCAGGGGCATAGAATCCGAAGGGATTACTAAGGCTAAAGATTTCCTTGCCGAAATTGAGAAGCGTTTTGCGAAAAACGATAAGGTAGAAACAAGCACGCTTTTAGCTCGCTTGATTTCAATGAAGTATAAGGGCAAAGGAAATATCAGGGAGTACATTATGGAAATGTCTCATATTGCTTCAAAGCTTAAGGCACTTAAACTCGATCTTTGTGACGAGTTATTAGTGCATCTGGTTTTGTTGTCTCTTCCTGCACAGTTTAACCAATTTAAGGTCAGTTATAACTGTCAAAAGGAGAAATGGACTCTAAATGAGCTCATTTCATACTGTGTGCAAGAAGAAGACAGGTTGAAGCAAGATAAGACAGAAAGTGCTCATTTGGCCTATGCCTCTAAGGATAAGGGCAAGAAAAGGAAGAATGATAAGGAAGCTGCTAAGGGTCCAGTTGAGAAGAAACAACATAAGGATAATCAGGGTTGTTTCTTCTGTAAGAAGCCTGGACATGTAAAGAAGGACTGTACAAAATATCACGCCTGGCGTGATAATAAGGGTACGTTCCTTGCTTTGGTCTGTTCTGAGGTTAATTTAGCTTCAGTACCTAGAAACACTTGGTGGTTAGACTCTGGTGCTACTACTCACATAAGTGTTTCTATGCAGGGTTGCCTGAGCTACCGAAAGCCAAGTGATGTTGAAAGACACATCTTTGTGGGCGACGGACAATCGGTAGATGTGGAAGCAATTGGGCACTTTAGGTTGTTGTTAGGAACTGGTTATTATTTGGATTTAAAAGATACTTTTGTAGTACCGTCTTTTAGACGGAATTTGGTTTCTGTTTCTGTATTGGACAAATCAGGTTATTCTTGTTCATTTGGAAACAGTCAATTCAGTTTATCTTTTAATTCAAATGTTGTGGGAACCGGTTACTTGAGTATTTATGACAACCTATATTTGCTTGATACAATTGCTTCTTACAATGAATCCTTGCATGTGGAATCACGTGGTACTAAGCGTAAATTAAATAAGGAAAATTCGGCGACATTATGGCATAAGCGCTTAGGTCATATCTCAAAAGGTAGAGTTGAGCGTCTTGTGTCTGATGGCATTTTGGATTCCCTTGATTTTTCGGACTTCAACGTATGTGTTGAATGTATCAAGGGAAAACAGACCAAAGTGAAGAGATTAGGTGCCAACAGATCTTCGGATGTCTTAGAATTGATACATACGGATATTTGTGGGCCATTCCCTACGGAATCCTGGAATGGTCAACAATATTTTATATCATTCATAGACGATTACTCACGTTATGGGCACCTATATCTTATTCATGAAAAATCTGAGTCTCTGGACATGTTCAAAGCCTATAAAGCTGAAGTTGAGAATCAACTCAACAGAAGAATTAAAACCGTCAGATCTGATCGTGGTGGTGAGTACTACGGTAGATATGATGGTTCAGGTGAACAACGTCCATGACCATTTGCTAGATACCTAGAGGAATGCGGTATCGTCCCACAGTACACCATGCCGGGTTCACCTAGCATGAATGGTGTAGCTGAAAGACGAAACATAACTCTTAAGGATATGGTAAGAAGTATGATTGCTCATTCTTCGTTACCAGAGTCACTCTGGGGAGAAGCACTTAAGACAGCAGCTTACATTCTGAATAGAGTACCAAGTAAAGCAGTTGCTAAAACACCTTATGAGCTTTGGACTGGTCGAAAGCCCAGTTTAAAGCATTTACATATTTGGGGATGTCCAGCTGAGGCAAGGCCTTATAGGCCGAATGCAAAGAAATTGGACTCCAAAACAGTTAGCAGCTACTTTATTGGGTACTCTGAACGCTCTAGGGGCTTTAAGTTTTATGATCCCACTATAAGGAATATTTTTGAGACGGGAACAGCAACATTCTTTGAGGATGTTGAGTTTGGGGGGAGAAATAAGGTTAGAGACATTAGTTTTGAGGAGGAATTGGCTTTAGATCCAATCCATACAGTTACTTTTGACAATATTCAGGTTCCTATACCTGTTGTTGCTCAAGAAGTAAATCCGGAACCTCAAGATGATAATGTTGAACAACTCCCTGTTCCAGAAGAACAAACTCAACAACCTCAAGAACTTATGCCATTAAGGAGATCCACGAGAGAAAGGAGAAATGCTATTCCGGATGATTATATTGTATTTCTCCAAGAACATGAGGAAAGTAGTGGAATGTTACAAAAGCTATTAAAGTAATCCACATCAAGTTACAAAATTTAAACTGGATGACTATATTTTTGTTTTTGTAACTTGATGATTATATTGTTGCTTTCGTCTGTGTACGCTAAATTGATGACCACATGTTAAATTGATGGGGGTCAAATGTTAAATTGATGACCACATGTTAACGCTTTGTTGAACCATTTGATGAATGGAATCAGTTCAGTTTAGTGATACGAACTCTTGCATTCCCCCCCCCTCTTTTTCCTAAATAAGTGTTTTTTTTCTCCTGTTATTTCAGACTTCTGATTTTGGTATATTTTTCATTCTTATTGGAAAGTTGTGCTCACTAAAATCGATCAAAGTCGAAGAATTGACAAGATTACGGTTAAGGATAAAACCAAAATTCGACGTACGTGAAAAGATCCGTGTTGAACGCAATATATTAGTGGAGGAGAGAGAACTACTTAGAATCGAATGGAAGAATGAATCCACGTTCAGCTAAACATTTGCAATAAAGGATTTGTTATTGTGGTGGTGGTTTTAGTGGTGGTGATTGTTATAGAGCTAAGAACTATATTTTTGTTTTTGTAACTTGATGTGGATTACTTTAATAGCTTTTGTAACTTTCACACTGCAGATGACTTAATTTAGCGTACACAGACGAAAGCAACAATATAATCATCTGCAGTAATCATCAAGTTACAAAAACAAAAATATATTTCTTAGCTTTTGTAACTTGATGTGGATTACTTTAATAGCTTTTGTAACTTTCACAGAAAGGAGAAATGCTATTCCGGATGACTATATTTTTGTTTTTGTAACTTGATGTGGATTACTTTAATAGCTTTTGTAACTTTCACACTGCAGATGACTCTACCTTGTTGCTTTCGTCTGTGTACGCTAAATTAAGTCATCTGCAGTGTGAAAGTTACAAAAGCTATTAAAGTAATCCACATCAAGTTACAAAAACAAAAATATAGTTCTTAGCTCTATAACAATCACCACCACTAAAACCACCACCACAATAACAAATCCTTTATTGCAAATGTTTAGCTGAACGTGGATTCATTCTTCCATTCGATTCTAAGTAGTTCTCTCTCCTCCACTAATATATTGCGTTCAACACGGATCTTTTCACGTACGTCGAATTTTGGTTTTATCCTTAACCGTAATCTTGTCAATTCTTCGACTTTGATCGATTTTAGTGAGCACAACTTTCCAATAAGAATGAAAAATATACCAAAATCAGAAGTCTGAAATAACAGGAGAAAAAAAACACTTATTTAGGAAAAAGAGGGGGGGGGAATGCAAGAGTTCGTATCACTAAACTGAACTGATTCCATTCATCAAATGGTTCAACAAAGCGTTAACATGTGGTCATCAATTTAACATTTGACCCCCATCCATTACAATTATTTCACTCTCCCAGAAGCACCAATCACCCAAATTCACTATGCTTCAAGATGCACATACACATGAGCTCTCCTTCCATGGGTCTGGCATCAGATTCTAGCTCAAAATTATTACTATGATGAGACCAATTTGCCCTTGAGAAATGTCCTGCACAGCCTCATCCAAGCGTCACGATCCGGTTCTCTACTGTTTAAGGTCGCCTTTGCTGCCTCAGCGTGACAAGACTGCAACAACACTCCTCAAAACTTTAGTCCCATATACGTTAAATTGATATGAACATTATCAAAGCTTTTCAAATATAAAGTATTTTCTTTCTTGAAGGGTGCAAAATTGAGTTTCAAAACGGACGGGGAGTTTTATTTCCTTAATCAAATAGGTAAGCAGTTAGACAAAAGCACATTGTTCAAGTATTCTCTCCTCTCATTTTGGTGAAGAGCCACAATTGACAGATGTAACAACAATAAATAGAGAAATCCATTACTTTAATATTACGTCTGTTAACCATTTTGATTAATTCAACCGGCCAGTTAACCAGTTTAATCCATTTTTTACTTTAAAAGGGTTACCTAGCTTTATCATATTTAATCTATCTTTCTTAATTTTTTCCAAACAGGCCTAAATCGTTACATAAGATAACCATTTTATCCAAAAACTTAAGGTAGAATGTATCCTCCAAATGTATCTCACCTGAATAAGATTATGCTGGAGGAGTCGATCGATGAGGCTCAACAAAATATCCTTAGTATACTCCGGGTGTCCTTGAATCCCCATAATATGCTCTCCATATCGAAACATCTCAACTCCAGTTCTTTGTGACCGAGCAATCACCTCTGCACACGGAGGCAACTCCCATACCTACAACACAAGATCTCAGCCAGTGATCTCTCGACACATTTTATTATTAGATCGGTACTAGAAATGAATAAATTTTAGTTAATGGACCTCATCACGGTGACATTCGATAATGGGGATATGAGAAGGAATTCGTAGAGAAGAGAGCAACTTGTTAGAGTGCGAAGGGTGGATGCAAGTGACTCCAATGTCCCACCCGTTATTAGCTCTTCCTGTTTTGCCTCCTAACGCCCTGCTTAAAATCTGCTAAAGTAACAGCAGTTAATACAAGTTTGAGCAAAATGTTGTTGAAAAATTAAATCTCAATATAGCTTTATATATTATTGGAACATGAAGATATATCATGTAGCTTCAGACCTGTTAAAAAGTTAAAATATATAAATTTTTTTTTACTGATCAAATTTAGGGAGTGAGTCCATCTGACACAAGGGGTATCCGATACCAGAAGATTTGATTAGTTTGGAGGACGTTTGGTTCGTGGATTGTATTTTTATGCATGCTATGGATCTAGAAAAATCCATATGAAAAACCTTATTTGCTTGCAATGGTTATTAAAGTGTATTTAAATGAGGTATGAGATCTAACCAAATACTGTTTGGTTGCACCTGCATTTCATTGAGGATATGGGACTAAAATCACAAATTCAGGTGAAATCAACATATTTTTAGGGGATTACATTTGATGCATCTAATCCTATGTGATAACCCCAAATTCGTGGTATGAAAAATAAAAACAGACAATGTATTTAATAAAAACTTATGATTTTAATTAAACTTGTAGGTATCATTTTTCAATGCAAAATCACCAAAATGCATAAAAATAAGGAATCCTACGTATGTTTTGCTGTAGGCCCCATAACTGGATTAATTTATGGAAAATGTTTCTTCAAAATTTACCTTTTTTTACCGCTTTATAACTTCCCATTATGATTTCCCTATACTTGTATTCCATCATTTTCCCATTTACAAAATCCACTAAAAAATTGGACAGAAATCATCCTAAAAAGCAAATGATTATAATATTTATTATATACCCCAAAAAATTAATGGACAACACATTAAAGTTAGGACTGGCATGGGCATAATTTCCACTAGACATCTTATCAGAATCCCCCACCAAATGGGAGTTCTCAGACACAAGGGTGCTAGAAAATACCCAATCTATCCCCTACTTATCACCTCAAGGGCTGAGACCCTTCTGCATCGTGTGGAAGGTTCTGATAGGCTATGTAGCACGGACACGGATCCGACACGGCCATCCGACACGCCGACACAAGGCAAATCCTAAAAAATACATAGGATACGTGTGTTCGACACAGACACGACACGACACGGCTTCATGTTATGCGTGTCCGTGCTTCATAGCTGATAGGAGCCGGATTCCATTGTTTCCCTTAATAATTTTCTCCTTCATAGCATGACTGTCGCATACGCCCTAAATTAAAAAACTGCTTGAAGCTAATAATCAATTAATTGTTACTAATTAATAACTAGACAACGCGAACTTTCCATAAAGTTGCACAGCTTCACACGTGGCAGCACGTGATTAGTCGGATGACGATACTTTACACGCACTGTCCTATACGTTTTGGACCTTTTCTTCTGGCCGTGTCGATCACTCGCTTGGCCCTAGTATTGTTTTTTCTTCACTTAAAAAGTACTTAAAAAAATGGCTAAATAGCACTTATATATCCTAGCCTACCTTTCACTTATATACCCCACTCGCATTTGGTAGAAAGAAAATACCCTAAAATATTCTAAACTTACACTTATATACCCTCACTTGAATTTGGTAGCAGTTATATACCCTAAAGTTATTAAAACTTTCACTTATATACCTAAAGTTTTTAAATCTGACACTCAAATACCTTAAAGTTTTAAAACTTGCACTTAAATATCCTCAAGTTTGCATAACTAAAGGTATTTACGTGCAAGTTTAAAAAACTTTAGGGTATTTAAGTGCTTGTTGTAAAAAAAAATTAGGGTATCGGAGTGTTGCCAAAAAAAAGTTAAGGTATATAAGTGCAAGTTTAAAAAACTTTAGTTTATTTTTTTGATACCAAATACAAGTTTGGGTGTATAAGTGAGGAGTAGGTAAAACAATAGGGTATATAAGTGCTATTTAGCCTAAAAAATAAAATACTAATCTGACTCATTTTTAAATAAATAAATACATTCAATTTCTTGAATTAAACGACAACCTTAAATGAATTATGGCTTGTATTTTACCTATTTGTCTTGTCAATTATAATAGGAAAATGAGCAAGAAGCAAAGTTTTATAGTAATCTTTATTGAGTTGTTCTACAGGGACCCCAAACCATAGGACCCAAAGGGGGACAGGTAAGGTGTAAACCCCTGGGTACATGATCTACTGTTTATGAACAGTAGATCATGTACCCAGGGGTTGACACCTCATCTGTCCCCCTTTGGGTCCCATGATTTGAGGTCCCAAAGGAATTTTTCATCTTTATTTTTGAACGATCATTATGATTAGCATTAAATTCTTACTTGCTTTGTATTGGCTATGCTTGCTAGCTGTATAAAATGACATATATAGCAATCGATGATTTGAACACTAATTAAAAATAATACGATAATGTTTATTATTTATTCTCCCTTCACCAATCAATTAATCAAAAGATAAGAAATGTTAATTCATAGGCGAAACCAATCTCATAACCACATACTTTATTTTTAAATAAATTTTATTTACAAGAAATATATAAAATCTAGTATAGTCAGCATTATCAATGAAAATAGATGATAGATTGCAGTGTGATAAGCACACACGGTTATCAACAGCATTTATTCCGCACATTACCACAAAACCCCCCGACAACACTTAAAATTACCTGATGCCCAAAGCAAACGCCGAGAACCTTCTTTTTGAGAGAGTCCAACCTCCTCAACAACCTTAACAGCTGGCAGATCCAGTCATCGTCCCCGTGAGCGTCATTGCAGCTTCCAGTGATAACGAAACCATCGTAGAGCGCCACGTCATCGTCGTCCGGGAACTCGCCGGAGGAGACTCTGAAGAGGTCCCAAGTCTCTCCTTCTTCTCCGAGGAGCCCAACGAAGACCTCGAAGTAGCCCCCGTACATCTTCTTGACGTAGTCGGAGTCGTCGGCGCACAATAGCACGGCGAACCTCTTCAACTCCATTGGATTTCCTTAGCTCCTTTCTTTTGGTTCTGAGTATTTGGGTGAAGACGAAAAGGAAAGAGAAACGGAGCGGGTGTTTATAAAGAGAGGATTTGAGGAGAAGGATTAGGGATTGAGCACTGGTTCTGATTAAATTTACGAAAGTACCATGTATATGATCGCGAAAGTAGGAGGTGACCTGGCCACTAGTGGGACTGGTACACGTGGCACATATTTCAGGCTTTTTAATTATTTTTTGACCTTTAAGTTTTTGTCCTTGGAAAACAGGTGTTTGGTACGTGGATGTTAGGTTATGGTAGGGTTCTTTAAGATTGTGGCTTATGTGGTAATACATTTTTAGCAAGTCCTTGTGCAAATTTATTAAATTAAATAATAGAAGGCTTCCCCTTTTTTTTTTTACTGTTGAGGAGAAAAGGAAAATGTTTCCATAAAACATATATGCTTCCTACAATGCATGCATAAAATCAGAAGCATGGTACCTTTTCGTATCAATTTAGAAATTTTTATTTGTTTATAATTTTTCTTGAAAGCAATTTGCTGATAATTCAGAGGAGCATTGTGGAGGAAGAATATCAATACATTCCTCACAATGTATAGTAAATTATATTACTGGTTGCAGAGAAATGGTAAAACATATTTGAACATTGTCTATGTTAAGTGTTGGTGTAAATTGCTTATGGCCGGAACAAGTCACAGGGTGTGCGTATTGCCAATGCGTGTAATAACTGTTCTTAAGAAAAGATTTCGTCACTCCTTGGTGCAAAAGGATACAATGGCGTCTTTCGTCACAGGATTCGACGACAGACAACAAGGTAAGGTGCACTCCAATAACCTATTCTACAAAGAACAACAAATTAAGACCTCTCTCTGACAGGAAGGAAGATAGAGCCCAGAAGATTTTTAGTGCCCCAACCAAGGAGAACAAGTCTCAATTTATAGATGAAAATTAAAAATGTAGGAACATCAAAGGATGAACCTGTTGGGAACACCAAAGGTTGAAAAACGTTGGGAAAAATCAAAGGTTGCAAAATAAATAACAAACACCCCACCTCTTTTTCCAATGCTGGACTAAACATGTTTTCCTTTGTGCATTTGAAATACACAATAATCCCCCACTATTTTAAAATACACAAAACTGGACATCATTTGGAACCAAGAATAACAAAGGAAATGTTAGAGAGAATCAAAGATACAATGCATTAGATGCTAGTACCTTTCGATTTGAACTAATCCTAGGGCAATGAATCTTATTTCACAGAAACATGGTAGAATAAATTCTTTGAACCAATATCCCTTGAGCGTGATATAAAGGACTTGCCCACTGTAACGCTCCGCCCCGGAATCCCGGAGTCGGTACGCTATTAGATCTGATGGACTGGCCTCACAAACAACCACATGTCTTTTTAGCACGTTTTGTCCTCACTCACGCGCTCCCTGGAAAACTTCCCAGGGGGTCACCCATCCTAGAATTTCTCCAGGCCAAGCACGCTTAACTTTGGAGTTTTTAAGAATTGGGTTTCCTAAAAGAAGATGCATCTTGGTTGGTATGAGTATTCTAATCAAATCTATCAATACTAATCACATCACCCTCTCAAGGGTTGGGGTATTACAAACTCCCCCACTTAAACTCGCAACGTCCTCGTTGCGTCAAATCATATCATCCAAGACCGTACCATCCGTGTGAGATTCTAGAGGTGGCTCCTACGGCCTCAAGAGGTGGGACAAGTGCATGTACAAGTATGATCAACAAGCATAGTGTAACGCCCCGCCCCGGAATCCCGGAGTCGGTACGCTATTAGATCTGATGGACTGGCCTCACAAACCACCACATGTCTTTTTAGCATGTTTTGTCCTCACTCACGCGCTCCATGGAAAACTTCCCAGGGGGTCACCCATCCTAGAATTTCTCCAGGCCAAGCACGCTTAATTTTGGAGTTTTTAAGAATTGTGTTTCCGAAAAGAAGATGCATCTTGGTTGGTATGAGTATTCCAATCAAATCTATCAATACTAATCACATCACCCTCTCAAGGGTTGGGGTATTACAAACTCCCCCACTTAAACTCACAACGTCCTCGTTGTGCCAAATCATATCATCCAAGACCGTACCATCCGTGTGAGATTCTAGAGGTGGCTCCTACGACCTCAAGAGGTGGCTCCCGCCCTCTTAACGTAGCACTTTGCGCCGCATAGCACTTAGCTCTCACAATTCCGATTGGCTTGGCTCTGATACCATTTGTAACGCCCCGCCCCGGAATCCCGGAGTCGGTACGCTATTAGATCTGATGGACTGGCCTCACAAACAACCACATGTCTTTTTAGCACGTTTTGTCCTCACTCACGCGCTCCCTGAAAAACTTCCCAGGGGGTCACCCATCCTAGAATTTCTCCAGGCCAAGCACGCCTAACTTTGGAGTTTTTAAGAGTTGGGTTCCCGAAAAGAAGATGCATCTTGGTGGTATGAGTATTCCAATCAAATCTATCAATACTAATCACATCACCCTCTCAAGGGTTGGGGTATTACACCCACACTGCACCTTCATTATATTGCTGTTCATGCGGGTGTGCACTTTTTGGCCCGGCGCTTCCCATGCTTCATAAGTGCTCTAGAGTATGTGCCTAGGTATCTATAAGAACCGACCCAGTTCTACACTCACATAGGTAGATATCCATCGAGTGTGTATAAAATACATCGCCACAAATTAGGCTTATGGACTCTCCATTAAGAGCTTCACTCATCCTTTCTCAGTTTATCAAGTACTATATGTATATATAAAAATATACTATATGTATACAATGTACTATCTCACCATAGGTAGGGATGTCTCATAGAGAAATTGATAGTACTGTTAGAACAAGGAGTGCTTTGTTTTTTCCCTTTGAACATTCTTCATGGGATCACCAATCACGTAGGTAGGGTTACCGCCAATCTTGCTCTATTTATTAGGTAGTAGTCCCATTCCCCTCGATGTAATTTCCACTTGCCTCCGATTAAGTGGTTTAGTTAGAGGATCGACCAAATTTAACTTTGACTTTACATAATCCAGAGTTACAACTCCAAATCGTAGTAGCTGTTTAATACTTGCCTGTTTTAGATGCATGAGTCTACTTTTGCCATTATATATATTACTCTTGGCTTTTGCAATTGAGGCCTGACAGTCACAATGCATAAACACAGAAAGCTGTGGAATATAATCAATGGGAAGATCTGCTAAAAAGTTTCTCAACCATTCAGCCTCAGCACATTCCTTATCTAAGGCAACTAACTCGGACTCCATGGTAGACCGAGTTATCAAGTTTTGCTTGGATGACTTCCAAGACACTGCACCCCCACCAAGGGTAAACACATAATTAGTAGTGGACTTGATCTCTTATGAATTTGAGATCCAGTTTGTATAACAATACCCTTCTAATACTGGTGGAGACCTTTCAAATCTTAGTCCATAATTAATGGTTCATTTGAAGTACTTGACCAATCTTTCTAGGGCCGTCCAATATTCCTGACTAGGACACTGGGTGTATCTACTTAATCTGCCCACTGCATAAGCTACGTCAGGTCTTGTACAATTCATCAAGTACATAAGGCTTCCAATAATTTGGGTATATTTAGGTTGTGAAACACTATGTGAATTGTTTTTTCTTAAGTTGAACATTTACCTCATAAGGTGTCGGTATAGGCTTACTATAATAATATTCAAACTTTTTCAAAACTTTTTCCACATAATGATCTTGAGTCAGAATGAAACCATCTGTATTTCTAGGAATTTTACTCCCAAGAATTACATCAGTTTCTCCCAGATCCTTCATATCGAACTGGGAGGATAAAAACTTCTTTGTTTCACTTATTAATTCAAGACTAGGGCTCAAGATGAGCATATCATCCATATAAATGCAGATAATGACACACTGATGATTCTCAAATATTTTAAAGTAAACACACTTATCTGCATCATTTATATAATAACTATTGGATAACAATGTATTATCAAAATTTTCATGCCATTGTTTAGGTGCTTGTTTCAACCCATATAAAGACTTAATTAACTTGCATACTTTTTATAGGAAAAATATCTTCAAAGAAATCAACATTTTTAGTTTCAATAATAGTATTTTCAGCTACTAGATTATTGTTGCTTTTGATAACAAGAAATCTACTAGCAACACTATTTTGAGCAAAACCTAAGAACATGCAATCTACAGTTCTAGGTCCTATTTTTATCTTTTTAGGTTCATTTACATGGACTTTGGCAAGACACCGCCACACTTTGATATATTTTAGGCTAGGTGTATAGCCTTTCCATAATTCATATAGTGTCTTTTTAGTTTTCTTATGGGATATCCTACTCTGAATGTGACATGCAGTCAGAATAGCTCCCCCCCCCCACACACAAGTTCAAAGGAGCACCTGAACTCACAAGCATGACATTTATCATTTCCTTAAGGGTTCTATATTTCCTGTCAACGACTCCATTAGATTCCGGAGAATATGGAGGAGTGGTCTCATGTATGATGCCATGTTTATCACAAAAATTCTAAAACGAATTTGATTCATATTCTCCTTTCCTATTTGACCTAAGTCTCTTTATCTTACGGTCAAGTTGGTTTTTGTCTTCTGTTTTATATTTTAAAAACATGTATTCTTCCTCATTCTTGTTTCTTAGAAGATAAACTTTTGTATACCTAGAGAAGTCATCTATAAATATAATATAGTAAAACTTTCCTCCTCTTGACATAATACTCCTAAATTAACCAAGATCAGTATGAATAAGGGTAAGCAACTCAGTTTTATCTCTAGAAACAAGTTTGCAAGGTTTCTTTATGGATTTTGTTTTAGTACATACTTCACATTTATCAAAATTGATATTAGCAAATTCAGACAATAATTCACATGCTTTCATCCATTTTAAGTATTGAACATTAACATGTCCTAATCTACTATGCCACATTTCTAAGGAATCAAGCAAGCAAGCAGAAGAATGTTTTTCATTCATAACATCAAGAACATTCAGAATAAACAGTCACTGATTACAGTAACCCTTACCAATGAAAGTACCACTCTTGCTTAGCACAAACTTATCAGCCTCAAAATCCGCC